AGTAGGGATTTTCTCTTTAGCATGAAGGAGAGTTAGGGAAGAAAGTTGTGTGCTTTAGTAAATTCATACAGTTATTCAGATCAATTATTGACTTTGAGGGATATTGATATCTCAAATTTGTTAGAGTTTTGGATAATTACATGTTGGAGTTTAGAAGTAAAGTTTTAGCTAATAATAGGATTCTAGGGAATTATGCTGTGTTTTGATAAAGGATTATTTGAATGCAAATATTGGTTTCTACTTTATTAGGTGTTTTTTGCAATTGAGATAAGGCTCTTTTTTCTTCTTTGAGTGAGAATCTGAATGTGTTTTTTTAACGGAATAATAGTGGAACTATTCTCATTTTTTGCTTTTGCAGAAAGTTAGGAGGAAATCATAAAAAATATTTTGGTTTATGGATTTTATCATTAAGGAAGTTTAGAACATGTAAATTTAGTAAATTTCATGAGTAAATTTTCGTGATAACACTATTATAAGTAAATTTCTCACAAAATTTACTTATAATAGTAGTATGAATAGTGTCATGAAAGAAATTGCTAGTCTAAAGGAATCAAGAATGGTTTTAAGAAGAGCCCCTAACTTGTATAAGAACTTGAGAAATGATAAGGATAGTATCAAAGCGGAGGAGAAAGCAGGGATGTATAAGATTCCTTATGAGAACTTACAACTGGATGTTAAAAAAGATTATATCGGTGTCACCACAAGAAACTTGGGAGTAAGGCTCAAAGAACATAGATATGCCATAAGAAAAGCGTCTAATTCAACAATTTTGTCCCAAATGGCGCAAGCCCAAGGCTCTGAGGTAAAATGGGACGAGGCAACAATCATCAAACCTCTGTCTTCCCCAACTTTAGCAATGATGGTGGAGAAGATTGAAATATACAGAAGTAGGATAGGAGAAGGCTGTTTAAATGTGAGGGATGCCGAGAGCCTGCCTTCGGCATGGAAGTACTTGGTTAAGAAATTTACTAGAAACTTGGACCAGAATTAGTACATTGAGAAGATTTATGTTATTTTTGTTTTATTTAAATTTTATATATTCTTCTGTTATTTTTCTCTTGTAAAAAAATTTTTGATTTAAAATTTTTATGTTCTATTCATGGAACATTTACGTTCCATTTCCATTTTTGACCTGAAGATGGCCTATTAATTGGGCTGAAAACGTTTGTTTTTTACAATTATATTTATTTCTCTGCAAAAAAGGGTGTTTTGTTTCTCTTTAATTAATTTTAGTTTTACAGAGGACGTTGTTGTCTATTTGGCAATTAAATAAGTGTGTGATAGTGTTGTACTTGAGTTTTTCTGTGCCATCCACTCAGCTGTGAATTATTTGGATTTTTGTTTTTTAACCTTTGAACCTTTGAAATTTTGCTGATTTTTCTCCTGGTAGGTTTAGTTTATTATTAATTTTAATTTTCTCTGTTTTTTTTTTATTGGTGCTCACAGCCGGTCAGAAAGACTATTTTATTTATTTTATTAATTTACTTTCTGCCTTAATTATATGGGTGATTATTTCTGTTAACTAGATCTAATATATGTTTTGTGTAACATCTTTATCAAATTTTTGTACTATTCCATACTGTAGACTTAACCTGGTACTAACTAAACATAAATAAATATATTACAATGTTTTGCCTTTATTAAAGGATAAAATTTCTATGAAATTTATGCAAAACAATAGGAGATTAATATGAATATTTTCCAGTTGTTTTATTGTTAAGAATGTTTACCATAACTATATTGATATACAAGTTACTTATTATTATTTAATTTTGTATAAATTCTACTGCAAAAAAAAATTTACAATATATTTCTTACAATATAAACAACCCAAAGCGTGCTCAGCAGAAAATAATAAACTATAACTAAATCAACACCTGTTCACTCGCTGAGAGATTTATTCTTAACACAAACGTTTTCAATCCAATCAATGGATCATCGTCAGGTAAATTAGAACATTTCAAAAAATAGAACAACAAGTTCAAAATACAAAAAATATAAATATTAATAACGGATAACCAATATATTACTAACAGCAAAATAACGTTTTTAAATAATATAATTAATACAAATGCTGCTAAAATTATAAATAAAAATAAAATATTAAAATATAACAAATAAATTGTGTATACAAAATATTAATACTTCAAACTTAATAGACAAATCGATAACACTATATATTAATAATGCTTAATAAACTGTACGGAGTTTCTCAACTAAACTATACAGAGTTTTTTATATACATAATATTAAAGCTCCTGCTCTTATTTGAAGTTTTTAACTGCAAACTTCCATGCGGAAGGAAGTCCCTCGGCATCCCTTGCGTTGATGCAATTCCCTTTAAGTTTGCTTTTATAAATTTCTAATTTTTCGGCCGTTTTTGCCAAGGTCGGGGAGTGTATTTGTTTCAGTATATCTGCTTCATTCCATCTTACTATCGAACCCTCCGTTTGCGCCATTTGAGACAATACTGTGGCATTCGAACCTTTTCTCACATCATATCTGTGCTCTTTTATCCTTACCCCTAGATTTCTAGTAGTAACCCCAACATATTCTTTATCTATTCCTAACATCTGATTCTCGTATGGGATCTTATATACACCTGACCTATCCTCTTTTTTAACTATCCCTTTANCCGCGAATTTCGGGCCAATAAGCTGCCTCGACTTGTTCGATTATGTTATCAACTCAATTTCATATTTATTTTCACATTTTCACTTTGCGGTTCTTCTCTGTTCTTCTTCCGTTATTTACACGTGTAGGTCATTTCATTGTTATCCACATTTGATATCATCACTTATCGCATACTGCCATGATGCTCTTGTCTGAACTGTCAAGAATTAACGCGATTGGCGAAGCGAAGTGACAGTGGGCCAATAGAGAGCAGGATCCTTGCCATAATGCGGTTTGCGCGCCAATTTTTTTTAAGTGCGTTAATCAAGCCGAATAGTTTGGCCGAATATTCGGTATTCGGCCTGAGGCCGAATATACTATTCGTTACAACGCTATAAATGACACTTAATAAAACATTAAACACCTTCCATCGCTGAGAAACGTTTATTTAATAAAACACTAACGTTTTCAGCCTCATGGAATAGACCATCCTCGGGTGTAAATGAGTTGGAACGTATTTTATTAAATAAACGTTTCTCAGCGATGGAAGGTGTTTAATGCTTTATTAAGTGTTTTAAAAACGCTGAGTTTGATATTTAGTTAAATAAATGACAAGGAACAAAACTGACACAATAGTATTATTATTATTAAAGTTCATAAAAAAAAATAAATAAATACCCTTTTGATTTCATTTTGTAGATCTAAAATTTTAGCCTTTTCAACAGCTAATTCTTTTCTAAGCTTTAGATTTTCATTTTCTTCTTGTTTCAATTTTTCATTAGTTATTTTAAGTAATTGTTGTAAATTCTTATATTTTGTTTTCCATAATTCAATTTGCTGCTTATATTGGTTTAATTCCTGAGTAAGATCCTTAATATCTACTTCAGACTCTTTTACTTCTTGTTTTAATTGAATTATATGATGTTGGAACATATCAATATATTGACTTTGTTCTTTGAGGTCTTCCTGTAAAATAATAACAAATACTTAAATGTAAAGAAATATTTAAGGTAATGTAAAACCAAAAATAATTTGTGGAATTTCACTGTAATTATTAAAAATATAGCAATATATAATTTTTAAAACTATAAATTTAAAAATTATGTNTCTCCCCCCCCGGGAGGAATTTCGAAAAATCCCTTCTTAGTGTGCGTTTTCGTGACGTACCCTATCTGTGTACCAAATTTCAGCTTCCAACTCCTAACCGTTTGGGCTCTGCACTTATTATTATCATTATTATCAACTCGTCTTGATTATATTATAGATAAGCATAAAAAACGCAATTTCGTCATCAATACAGCAAGAAAGAAAGAAAGAAAACAAAGCGCAGAATTTAACGGTGAAATTGTAGTTTTTTACGCGATAGATAAAATTTAATAATTTTGTATTAAAACACAGGGTCCGAGAGACCCACTGCGACTCAGCAAGGGCAAAAAGTTACAGAGCTCACTGAGGATTAAGATTACATAAAAAACACATAAATATTTACCTCTAGTATTGTCTTTTCGGGATCTCTTCCTAGATGGTTCTTCATTTCTTGTGAGACATCGCGTTGATCGTTTTTGAGGTACAGACTTACTAATGTACTTAGGACAATTAGGGAAGTTTGATGAATATGCATCCGACGTTAATGCCCAGCGATCTCGTGGAATTTCTACTTTCTGTCCATTTATAACATGGGAACAGGTTTTTAAAATAAATCTACTCGCAAAATGTACGTCACAAACGTAACATTTACTTGTTAGCATCTTGTCGTCTCGTGGAATGTATCGCATCCACTCCCCAATCTTATCGCTAGGAACACGGAAAAAATGTCTCTTCTCGTTCGATGACTTATATCCTGCCTTGCATCCTGGCACAAAGCACGTTAGCATTTTTATGTAGCTAAAAAAACAATTATTATAGGTCGAAATCACTGACCTCAGTATATACCTAGCAAGAACAACGCTCTTCTGCTAACAGTGGCGCCAACTAGCGGCAAATATTGTCTCTAGCTAAGTTTGAACTATTAGTCGAAGGACCAGTTAATCTACCGACTCTGGTAGTGTCTTGCCCATGTACAGTACATCATACTTTTCCTTTTTAACAATAAAGTGATACTGGTCATTTATCTAACTCTGTTCAGGAGAAACTTTTGAATTGAAAAAAACAACTTCTACTCCAAACCAGAAGTTTGTATATAGTTAATCAGGCTTCCTACTCTTAAGCCTTCCATATCGATACAACTTTTATCTATCTAACTCTATTCTCGAGATTAAGGAAGGACAGAGAACAGATGGACACCAGAGGGAATTTATAGGTCTGCAATTTTTGAAAATTGCAGCCAAACAAAAATTATATATTTTATTGTAAAATTACCTTCATATAGTAAAAAGAATTTTACATACCTTTAATGACAGACACTTTTTATTTAACTGTTGGCGATAATATTGAACTTCTTTCATAGCAATGGCATTATAAGGGTGAACATGTTGCTTTATAGAGATTATATCTGATTCTTTCTGTTTTAATTTTGATTGCAATTGTTTAATTTTATATGTTTTCTCAGCAAGTAGTTCATGAAGAATACATATTTGTTGTATTAAATGAAATTTCTCAGGTTGTGTACTCTAAATAAATTAAAAACTTCTTTATTATGTTAGTGAAAGATAAAAATTTTGTTAAATTTTACTAACTTAAAATAGAAAAGATAATTACATTTAATGTATTAAGGAATTTATACAAAAATTTTCCTCCCTTTAATTACTATAATTATACTTTTTAAATGATAAATCATTTTTCTTGAAATTATTTAAATGTAGAAATAATAATGATAGCTAAATTTGATAAATTTAGCTGAAATAAATTTTATATAATTAAAATTTAAATAAATATTATAATTGTAATCAAATTGTTTCATCTAAATTAATTTGACACCCAAATTACAATAAATCCTGTACTATTACTACATTAAATAATAAAATATATTATATTTTTGAAATATTAAATTCAATATGGTCTTGTCTAATTTTTTAAATATGTTAAACAATTTTGACTCTAATATCACTAGTCACACATGTATATTGGTACATACAATACATAAATTGTCTCAAACAATAGAATTTTGAGTTTTAAAATGGTAAATTTCTGAGTTTTATACTCATACAAGTCAAACTTCAAAATAAAATTAGAATAATTTTAAATTACAGAATTAAACCATAATGTATTTTGGTTTAAATAATCTTAATGTAAAATACATAGGGTAAAATATATTAAAATTATACTCAGGTTTTAAATATAAAAATTCAGATGATAAATTATGAAAGAAATTTTGAACTTATTGCATTTTTCATTTTTTTGATAAATTTTAAACAAATAATCAAACAATATAAATTTCTATTAAACTTTAAAATTACAATATATTATTAGAGAAACAGGTAAGAACATTAAAAACAATGTGGATATTGTTTTGTTTATTCATTTGAAACAATACATATAAAAAATTACAGTATATTAAAGTCCTTATTACTTACCTCTATTATTCTCCATCTATGTATGTTGGTTGGAGATTCAATTACATGCATCAAAGCTGAATTGTTTATATCTTTTTTGAGCAATTCTTTTTTTGATTGCTGTAAATCAAATTGCATTTCTTCAAGCAAATTTCTACTAATAGTTAGAGAGGATGTTTTATTATTATCTTTAGATTGAAACTTTAATGACTTCATTTCATTTATTTGTGAAGCAAATTCCTTCTTTTCTAGCAAAAAATGTACTTCTGTATCTTTCAGTTTTTCTTTTAAGGATAAAATTTCTTTATCTTTATTAGATAATTTTGATGTCAACTGATATTTTTCTTCTTTCAGCTGTAAACAAATATATCTTTACTAATAATAAACTAATGAAACATGTTGATATAGCGATAACCTTTCTAATGATTTTAAAACAAAAAAAGTTAATCATAATTCTAAATTAATTACCTATAATTTTATAACTTTTAGTAAAAAATAAACACTAGTCTAAATATAAGCACAACTTTAACTTTAAAAATACATTCATTCTGATTGGTTCAGACAATACATTCATTTATAAATTAGTAAGATTATATAATTAATATTTTTAATCATTTACATTGCATTTTTACTTTCCCAGCTGTTATATATAACAGAGGGAAAGTGTGACAATTGGTCAAAAAAAATGATCCACCCAGATTTTTACATTTTTGGACTCAGGACACTCGAAACATTGAAAAATGCAAAAAATCGGGTTTTTTTCTGTATATATGGATGTTAGTGTGTGTGTTTGTTCACCCTCTTTGAAACTTAATAACTCCTGTGCTTTTTGTTGAAAATTTCTGAAATTTTGCAGGGAGATTTGTGTATTAGGAGGATGGATACTATAAAATTTTGGTGGTTAAAGGTCAAGGGGGTGTGGAGATAAAGGAATTGTGTCATATCTTGAGTAGGGTTTGGAATAACTAATGAAATTTGTTATTAGCATTTACAATTTTTATAAAACCCATCTTTACCCTCAAAATTAAGATGTTTTTTTTTGCCCTTTTATAATAGTTAAAAATATAAAAATATTTTTAATAAAATATGATAACAAATGGCGTCACCAAAATTTTAAATGCTGCCAGAAAAGTTGAGCAACTCATTGCTAGTTTTTTAAAATGTATAATGGATAATTATAAGCATAATGAGGAAAAATTTTTCTGGCTGGTAACTTTAACTGGCTTAATAAGGCATTTTTATTAATGAGATAGAGGATATTGAATGGTATGAGTATTTTTCAAATTTTTATGAATCTTAATTACCTTATTTGCCAGACTTTTCATTGTATAATATTTTAATTGTAGAGATGAAATTTTGGATGTAGATATTGATGAGAAATGAACCTCCATCTCTCATCAGTGAGGTGACTGCTAGAATCCAATAGAGTTTTACTAGTGTGTACCAGACATTTCTCAGTACTTGTTTTCTGTTCTTAATAGGATTTTTAAAAAAGAAATGTTTCTGTAGACATGGTATGTTAAGGCTGGTATACACGGTAAGGAAATCCTCAAAGGATGTGCTTAACAGACGAAAAAAACTCGGATATAACTGGCTGGATCGAACATAGTAATTTACAAAACTTATTAAAATATCTCCCAACGTATAAAGAATTATTTTTATTTAAAAATGGATAGATAGAAAAAAAAATCACGGTTAATCCTCAAAGGATTTCCTTACCGTGTATAACAGCCTT